TTGGGCACTAAGAAAGTGCGCACTTCGCCCTACCATCCCCAGACCGACGGCATGGTGGAGCACCTTCATAGAACTCTCACCGCTATGTTATGCCATCGGGTCGATGAATCCCACCTCGATTGGGACTTGCAGGTTCCGGGGGTCCTCGCCGCATACCATATAGCGCCTCACGTGGCGACGGGATTTTCTCCGTTCTTTCTAATGTATGGCAGGGATGCCTTTCCTCCCGCCGACGTTCGGCTGGAAATCGAACAGCCACCGCAAAAGTCAAAGCTCGTTGACCACTTGCGATTCAACCTCCGTAAGTTGGCCGAGGCACGGGAGGCTGCCATTGAAAATTCGGCTTCCCGCCAACGGGCGAATTTGCGACTGCGTGACCCTCGGACGTACATGCATCTGTGGGCACCGGGAGACAGGGCATGGCTCCACTGCCCCCAGGTGCCGGTGTCCACGTCGGCCAAACTCCTCAGGCCATGGCGAGGCCCGGTTGAGGTAGTGGAAGTCCTGCGTCCCCAATGTGTTAAAATTCGCTGGGGACGGCGTCGCTGGTGCGTTCACCCCTCTCGGTTGAAACCCTTCGTCACGTCACGCGTCCCTCCACAACACACACGACACGGGGGCCGAGTGTGCGACGCGTCCGACGAGCCGGATGTTGCCCCGTTGGTGCCTAACCCACAGCGCAGGCGTGTTATTCCTCCTGCAGATGACACGGGAGTGACGGCTCCATGCAGGCCACGTTCGGCCTCAATGGACCGTGGAGCAGCAGGGGTCCCCGTGGAGATGCCTAAAGGCCCACCGGATGCTCTTGCTCATCCTCCTCCTTCCCTTGTGCCGCCGACAAAGCCTGCCATCCCCTACGATGGTCCCGCGAAACACACGCGCGCGAAATCTCGCCGGTTGTTATGATGTTCTTTGGCATGTCTAGTGCCTTGTACATACGTTATGTTGTTAAGGGGGGTATTTATAGGGGTTTTATTGTTCTTGTTCTTGTTGTTCGTGAGGCACACTCACAATTCTTCTACCGTTGGTAATTTTGGAGTTTCCCATTGTTGCAGCCGGGACGGCTGGAGCTTCCGAAGGAGGGGGTGATGTAGAGGTGTTAACTACGCGCTGTTGCGTAACCTGCGTTGCCACCAGGGCAGTGCAGCATTACCCCTGGGTACAACGGTTGGGGTCAGTCGAGGTGAAACGGATTGTAGCCAGGGTTTGGTACGAACCAATCAGATGGTTCCACGTGGGAATGTATGATTGGTTCTACCTGGCCACGAAGGAGTATAAGACGGGTGACCCAACGGACCTCGGGGAGTTCTCTCCCTACACGAAGACAGAAGACTGGGCTGGAGCCTAGCTAGGACCCTGGACCAGACTTCCAGACCTTCTAAGGGCTAAGGCTCGGCATACCCAGTGGTCAGGACCCACCGGGCCAGCGGTGGGTCAGATAGCCTCCCCTAGGTCCTAGCCGGAGGACTAGGATAGCGGTAGACATGTGAGTCCCACCAAGTCCGGAGGCTGTACCTCCTTAGATATCAAGGAGGTTAGCGGTAGACGTGTGAGTCCCGCCAAGTCCGGAGGCTGTACCTCCCTAGGGTATCGGGTGAGGGGACCGAATATCCCTCTGTGTGTGTTAAGCATTGTATAAGGAAATAATACAATAAAAAGAGTGTGCTTCCTAAGAAGTCTGCTCGTCCTTACAACACTACACCAGTACCAAAATATAATAATAGGGTTTTCCCCCTTTTTTCTGGCAACAAAACTGCAACCTTTTTACAAGGATTCATGTCTGCATTAACCACAATACCTGCAGTCAAAATGCAAACAAAAACATACTATCATAATATATGCATTGTCCTTGAAACTGATTGGTCCACACCAAGGGACGGCTTTCTTTCAAGGACAATGCATATATTATCATAGTATGTGTTTTGTTTGCATTTTGACTGCAGGTATTGTGGTTAATGCAGTAACATGAATCCTTGCAAAAAAAGGTTTCAGTTCTGTTGCCAGAAAAAAAGGGGGGAAACCCTATTATTACATTTATTTCACACCATACGTAGATAACTGTGCTAATCGGAGGTGCTAAGGCGTACAAACCCTCTGAGATCCGCTGTTCCAATCCGGGTGTTGTCGTTTGTGTTTGTTTGCTCAAACAATGTCAACGGCCACAGCAATAAACATCGTGACAAGGAGCACATCAACAACAACATCATCAACATCAAGGTGTGTACGTACGTTGAACTTCTTTTGACGGGCCACTTTGTTGACATATCATTTGTTGATACCCGAGTGGGCTTTGCCTGGTAGGGCGGGGATGGTTCAGTTGTATTTGAAGGTGTTTGGGTGATCTGTTCACATTTCTTGTACTTTGCACTCCTGGACATCTGTAGCTCATCGCATTTCCTCCTCCAGTCTAAACACAAATTCTGATTCTCCGATTCCGTTCTCGGGTTGCGGATGAAACCGGTTGCGTTCTCGAGTGGCATGGTTGGTTGGCAGTCCCTCGGGCATGAGGATGGCACACCTTCCACAGACGATAGCTCAACGAAGTGGCTTGTCACATGACCACGGGGAGAGACAACGTGCAAAATATACAGCAGCAGCAGGCGTCGGGGTCGGGATCGGACCCACGACCCCCTGTGTACCGGGCGAGGCGGTCAACATCTCCTGGCCACCGCGGTACCCAAATCACACAGTGTGCCCCCCCCCCCGCCCCCCATGGCTGCAGATGCCTGGCAACGAGATCATGTCAGCTGTACCCCTGAACAGGCTGACCCCACACTGGAAAACTCGGAGGAACCAAAGGCAGAATATGCAAACTCCAAATATACAGCAGGCGGCTGGGCCGGGGGGTCGAACCCACAACCTCCTGTACGCCAGAAGGGGTAGTTGACATCTCCTAGCCACCGTGGAGGGGGGCGGCTGCTCCTTGTGGTGCTCGGTCCACTTCCAGACATCTGTGACAAAGAGCTTCATAGATCATCGGATTCCTCCTGCAGTCCCAACGGTCCGATTGCGATCGTGGCTTTGGCCGCGCCGATTCGACGACGCGTCGTCGTGGCTGTCGGATATCTTCCGTTCGGTCTTCCCACGGTTCGCTCCACTCACAAGGAGCAACGACTTCCTCCTCCAATACTTGAGCCACAGCAGCACCAGCGGGGTCAGCCCCGCTTTTCCCTCTGATGTTGCTTGACCCGAGGGGTTTCCGTTGCACCAAGACATCAAGGAAATGCTGCCGCAAGATGAGCTGCCACTCTCTTTCTGGCCCCTCCCCCCACCCCCCCAAACCTTATTTCCTATTTAAGCTGCTGTTCATCCCTCTCTCTCTCTCTCCTTGCCTCTCTGTCCGTATTTCCTACTGACCATGTACCTCGTATTTTCACTCTGTCTATGCTGGTTTTTTGCAATCCAGAAGTTGAACACGAAATTTAACACTCTTCTGAAATTCGTGGTCCGCCAAGAAGTGTCTAACTGTGTTGTTGGCCTGACTGGTTGTGCTTCACATAATGTTTTTTCAGGTTTGTTGAATTCTCGTCTCTCATCTCCTTGTTGTATTTACCTCCGTGATTTGTTCTTGACACCTGATGAAGATCGCTTGTGTTGTGATCGAAACGTCGTGATTGTTTTGTTTTAATGTAATTTTATTGTATTTCTACATACGTGACTTTACTGAAAAAACAAAAACCCAATGAGTAATGCTCAGCAAAACCTGCGAACATGCTCTCGGAGGTCGAAGATCAGATCACCATTCTTTCCCTTAAAGGATGTTGACGGGTGTGGTGCTGCAAGTTACTTCTTGATGGTGTTACAGTAATGCTACTGAGGCGGTTTCCATTTCCTCAACAACTCGTAACCACCACTCATCCTTACGGTGCGGCACGGCTCTCCGAACCTCCAAACTCCCGAGCAAAGGCTGCGGCAAGCCTCCTCGTTCTTAGATGTGGGATGTTGTCTACGGTGGGAGTCGACCTGCCACTTACTTTTACTAGGGTTTCTGGGGAGGTCTGGACTGCGTGCGTAATGCAGTCATAGCAGCTGCATGAGTCAGAGTCCTGAACCTCAGCCATTACCCCTCGTGTCAGGGGGGTAGGGCGATGCCAACTCCACTTCCAAGCGATGATGAAATTCCTGCTTGTAACCTCCAGACTCACCACACAGAGACCCATAGACTCACAACACAGAGATACTCATAGACTCACCACACACAGACCCACAGACTCACCACACACAGACCCACAGACTCACCACACACAGACCCACAGACTCACTACACAGACTCACAGACTCACCACACAGAGACCCAGAGTCTCACCACAGAGATAATCACAGACTCACCACACAGAGACACCCACAGACTCACCACACAGAGACCCACAGATTCACAACACAGAGACCCATAGACTCACCACACAGAGACCCACAGACTCACCACACAGAGACCCACAGACTTATCACACAGAGACCCACAGACTCACCACACAGAGACCCACAGACTTATCACACAGAGACCCACAGACTCACCACACAGAGACCCACAGACGCACCACACAGAGACCCACAGACGCACCACACAGAGACCCACAGACTCACCACACACAGAGACCCACAGACTTATCACACAGAGACCCACAGACTCACCACACAGAGACCCACAGACTCACCACACAGAGACCCACAGACTCACCACACAGAGACCCACAGACTCACCACACAGAGACCCACAGACTCACCACACAGAGACCCACAGACTCACCACCACGGCCTGCCCCTCCCCCCAGAGCCATGTACCTGGCGGTGTCCCCGGGCCTCCTCCAGTCGTCCCCGCGTCTCCTCCCCTCCGCCCCTCCCACTGCGCTCAGATCCTCGTAGCTCTTCCCCAGGCGCGAGGGAACTTCTCCGACTCTCCTGGCGGACCCCTTCCACGGGCGGTCCCTCCCCCCCCCCGCCGCCGCCCCCCCACCGCCCCCTCCCTCCGCTCCCCCCGCCGCCCCGGCCGCCGTGCGCACCGCGTCCAGGTAGAGGGAGTTGAGGTCCACGGAGCGCTCGCCAACGTGGCGCCGCCTGAAGGCGCTGGCGCTCTCTCGGACGCCTTCCGTGGTACCGGTGCCCCCACCGGTGCCCCCACCGGTGCCCCCGCCGGTGCCCCCACCGGTGCCCCCGCCGGTGCCCCCACCGGTGTCCCCGCCGGTGCCCCCGCCGCCGCCGTCCACGCTGCTGTTGCTCCTCCTGCCGCTCTCCTTGAAGGCGCTGGCGCCGTCTCGGACGCCGTCTCTGGCGCCGGCACGCCGACCGTTACCCTCGCCGGGACCTCCACCGGTGCCCCCGCCCACGGCCCCGCCGGTGACCCGCCTGGCTGCGCCGCCGCCGCCGCCGTCGTCCGCGCCGCCGCCGTTGCTCCTCCCGCCGCTCTCACCGGCGCCGCCGTTCCCGTAGCAGGGAGCCGCCGCCGCCGCCGCCGCCGCCGCCGCCGCCGCCGCTCGCGTTCCGGCGCCGCCGTGGCGAGCCGCCTCGGCCCGACCCGCCTTGCCGCCGCCGCCAGCCTGGTCGCCGGGAGGCCGTGCCGCTTCCCGGCTCTCCTCGCCGGCGACCTCGACGGGCGAGGGGAGCGAGGAGGGCGAAGAGGGCGAGGGGAGCGAGGGGTCCGAGGGGTCCGAGCGGTCCGAGGGGTCCGCACGGCCACACACGGGGGCCCCGTCCTCGCGCGGCTCCGGGAAGGACTGCGCCCGGAGGAACCGCCGCTGGGAGGCACCGACGCCGCCGCCGCCGCCTCCGTCGCCGCCGCCGCCGCCCGGCTCCGTCGCCTCCTCGCCCGCCCCCGGGCGAGCCCTGCGGGTCGGCGACAGGCTGAGTTGCAGGTTCACGGAGGAGGTGTGCGTCGCCGGGCCTCCCGCGGGGATGCTGGCCTTGCTCGTGAACGTTCCGCCGCTCCTCCCGGCGTCGCCGGCTCTCCGGGCCTCTCCTCCGGACGGCCGCCCCGCGTCGGCGTCCCCCCCTCCCCCCCCTCGTCCTCCTCCTGCCGCCGCCGCCGCCGCCGCCGCCGCGGCCTCCTCCTCCTCCCCCGCCGGGTCCCCGTCGTCGTCCCCGTCGACGCCGCGGAGGACGCTCCAAGGCCGCCGCCTGCCGAGCGTCGCCCCGGCCGACGAGGGCAGCGTGGCCGACTTGCTCTCGAGGCCCCGGGGCCGCGAAGCCACGGGGGGCCTCGCCGGCTCGGGGGGGGGGGTCCCGGGCGAGGAGGAGGCCGCGGCCGCCGTCGCGGGCCCGGGCCGCCGCCGCCCCCCCGCCCACGCCGCCGTCCACGCCGCCGCCGCCCCGCCGGTGAGCGGCGAGCAGCAGGCGGTCCACCTCGAGCCGCAGCTGCTCGTTGTGCTGTCGCTCGCGCCTCAGGACGCTGCGAGCGTCCTCCAGCTCCAGCGACAGCAGCGTCTCCCGGCGCCGCAGGGACGCCGACGTGGCGGCGGGGAGGGGCTCGGCGGGCGAGGAGTCGGCGGGGCCGGCCGGTGACGGGCCGACGGCTTCCCCGTCGTGCCGCTGCCGCCGCCGCTGCTGCTGCTGCTGCTGCTGCTGCTGCTCCAGTTTGAGCGCCCGAGCTTCCGAGCGCTGCAGCTGCTGCCGCAGGTCGGTGAGCTCGACGCGGAGACGTTCGAGCTCGCGGCCGGCACGTGGAGAGCTGGGCCCCAAACTCACGTCCAGACGGTCCCGAGCCGCTGCACGGCATGGCAAAACAGAAATAAACTAAACGGCCGAAACTAATAAACTAAACGACTGAAACTAATACTCTTTGGTTCTATTCGGTAAAGTCACGTAGGTAAAATAAATAAAACAACAAAAATCACGACGTTTCGGCCACAACACAAGCGGCCTTCATCAGGTGAAGGGACCAGACTGTCTCGAGGACAGCGCTGGAGTGAAACACAGCCACGCTCAGACCGCGACCTTTAAGCTGTGTGAGAGGGATTAAGGTGCCTTGACAAAGGAATTAGCGTAAAAATTAGCATTTGATTGGCGGACTTATCATGATGAAAGGTGTAGCACAGTGATCGGCACCGGCAGTGCACCCGCCTGTGCTGCGGAAGTTTGGGGTACCACTACTTGAAAAAATATTCTGTACCAATGAAAATTAGTTTCATGTTTGGTTCGATTTAGAACATCTTTCCAATGGTTGCTTAATTTGAAACCATCTTCTCGGTTGAAATTGTGTCTTTGTTTGTAGATCTGAATTGCCTCGTGAACAAATCTCTGATAAAAGCCTGTGGGTTTGCATAGAACCTTGGTATCGGAGAACACTATATCGTGATCACCCACAGTGTTGTAACAGTGATCAGCAACGGCAGAAGAATTCGTTCTGCCGTGTTTCAAATCTGATTTGTGCTCGCGAATTCGGTTAGAGACATGTCGCTTCGTCTCCCCGATATAGCAATCACCGCAGGTACAACTCAATTTGTAAACCCCGGGGTACTGTAAGTCAGGAATGACATACTTCACGGATGGGATCAGATCACCACTTCCATGGTGAATTTGATGGCGGGATGTCTGGAATTGATGTGGTGTAGGAAAAGGTTCAGAGCTGGGAGGCCATGTGGCCAAATGATGAAAGTGTCATCCACATATCTCTTCCACAGGGAAGGTCTGAGGGTGGAAGTTTGGATGGCATCCGATTCAAATTTCTCCATGAAAACATTGGCTATCACGGGTGACAAGGGGGAACCCATGGGAGTACCCTCATTTTGCTTGTAGAAGGAACCATTCCAAGTGAAGTAGGTGTTGGTGAGGCAGTGCCTGACCAGCGTAGGTACCTCGGGGTTCAGTTGTTCTGTTTGAGAGGAGACCTGATGGCTCATTGGGGCATTCTGTCTACAGGAAACCCACCCACACAGATTCCTACTTGAAGCCTGATTCCCACCACCACCCAGCCCAAAAGGATTCTCTCATCAAAACGTTATACCACAGGGCTAATTGCATTTCGGACCAACACCACCTGACCAGTGAATTAAAACATGTACACCTGGCCCTCAAAAGGAATGGATACTCTGACGGTACCATCCGCCAAGCTGTTTCTCCCTCCATACAGAAACAACCACTTTATACTCCGGTCAAAACCATCACACTACCATATATAGCAGGCGTTACTAAAAAGATTTCCAAAATTCTAAACAAACACAAGATCCAGGTCCGGTTCAATACAGTACACAAAATTCGTGATCTGATCCCATCCGTGAAGGATGTCATTCCTGACTTACAGTACCCCGGGGTTTACAAATTGAGTTGTACCTGCGGTGATTCCTATATCGGGGAGACGAAGCGACATGTCTCTGACCGAATTCGCTAGCACAAATCAGATTTGAAACACGGCAGAACGAATTCTTCTGCCGTGGCTGACCACTATTACAACACTGTGGGTGATCTTCTTTGGTTCTTTGGTTCTTTCGGTAAAGTCACGTATAATTTTCTCCGATACCAAGGTTCTTTGCAAACCCACAGGTTTTTATCAGAGATTTGTTCACGAGGCAATTCAGATCTACAAACACAGACACAATTTCAACCGAGAAGATGGTTTCAAATTAAGCAACCATTGGAAAGATGTTCCAAATCGAACCAAACATTAAACTAATTTTCATTGGTACAGTATATTTTTTCAAGTAGTGGTACCCCAAACTTTCGCAGCACAGGCGGGTGCACTGCCGGTGCCGATCACTGTGCTACACCTTTCATCATGCTAAGTCCGCCAATCAAATGCTAATTTTTAATGCTAATTCCTTTGTCGAGGCACCTTAGTCCCTCTCACACAGCTTAAAGGTCGCAGTCTGAGCTTGGCTCTGTTTCACTCCAGCGCAGTCTTCGAGACAGGCTGGTCCCTTCACCTGATGAAGGCCGCTTGTGTTGTGGCCAAAACGTCGTGATTTTTGTTGTTTTATTTTTTACCTACGTGACTTTACCGAATAGAACCAAAGAGTGTGGATCCTTGCAGTCACGAAAGCTTCAAATCTAGAATTGAAACTAATAAACTAAACGACTGAATCTTGATTCGAAGCTTTCGTGACTGCAGGAATCCATACTCTCTGGTTCCAATAAACTGAACGACTTCATCAATTATTTTTTTTTTTTTAACCACGTGTAAAGGCCGACCGAGTCTTTGTAGTGCATGCACGTTGATCTTGTTTTGCACCGTACGTAGCCAACCGTGCTAAACGGAGGTGCGCGGGAAGGACAACAAACTAAACACATAAAGCAGCTATAAAGAAATGGGTTTTGAATATAGATTTAACATATGTACCAGTAACATATATACGGTATCCCCTCGATATTCGCGAGGGATACATTTTTGGAGATGCTCGTGAATAGCACATTTTGCGGGTAATGATATTGGCCTATCTTTTGAGTGAAAACCTGAAATAAATAGGTAAATAAGCTATTAAATAGGTCGACATTATGATAACAACACACGTCTATCTCATCACTTTCTCCCTCATCACATTTTCTTTATCTCTTAACGTTATCACTCATCACGTTATCTCTCATCACCGTGTCATCTCTCATCACCGTGTATCTCTCTCCGTCGATGCAGCAATCATTTAGAGTTTCCGGATGCGATTCGCCGATAGCCAAAGACGCAGAAAGCAAGTTTGTGAACAACGGGGTAATGCTGCGGCTCTTTGCAGAAGCGATTTGGCCACAAATTAAAGCTCAACGAAGTGGCTTTATCAACGTCACATGTAATTCATAGCGGGCAAATACTCGAAACCAGTGGTTCTTAACCTGGGGTGGACGCAACCCCGGGGGGTGTGAGGTGCCCCTTTCTGGGGGTGCCAGGTGTTCTTAAGAAGCGAGATCATCGAAACAAATTAAGAGCGTTAAGTACAACTGCTTTTGATTCAAAGCTTTCGTGACTGCAGGGATTCATATTCTTGGTTCTTACGGTAAAGTCACCACTACGTAGAAGGGAAACAATAAAATAATAAAAAAAACATAAAACAATAAAATTCTCACGACGTTTCGACCGCAACACGAGAAGCAATCATCATCAGGTGTGAAAACCACAGCAAGAAAATTTTGAAGTGGCGGTTTTTTAATTTCTTCCAAAAAATTTACCGAAAGAACCAAGAATACAACTACTTTGTTTCATCAATCCGATGTATTAACATACACTCGTTAAGCCAAGGGGCACAAGGCTGCTGTCAAGGTTAAGAACCACTGCTCTAAACGTACGTCGAGTCAAGAGGTGGGGGGGGGGGGGGTGGAAACGGAGGAGCCAAAGAAAAATACACTGGGAGAGAGACACGCAAACTCCAAATATACAGAAGGCATCAGGGTCGGGATGAAAACCCACGTACCTCCTGCATATCTGGCGAAGTAGTTAACATTTCCTTGCCACCGTTACGCGCATGAGTGACGAGTCGATGTGATTTCATCATAGAATTAGTCTTTATCATTGTCAACGTGTTCATCATCATCATCATCCTTCCCTTAGGCACTGTGAATAGGTGAGACTGCCCTGGGCTCCACACCCATCCTATGGATGGTCCTGCCCATGGTGTTCAATGTTAAAGGTTCCCATAGGGCTCAATGTTAAAGGTTCCCATAGGGCTCAATGTTAAAGGATCCCATAGGGCTCAATGTTAGAGGCCTCCATAGGGCTCAATGCTAGAGGCTCCCATAGGGTTCAATGTTAGAGGCTCCCATAGGGTTCAATGTTAGAGGCCCCCATAGGGCTCAATGTTAGAGACTCCCATAGGGCTCAATGTTAGAGGCCCCCATAGGGTTCAATGTTAGAGGCTCCCATAGGGTTCAATGTTAGAGGCTCCCATAGGGTTCAATGTTAGAGGCCCCCATGTTAGAGGCCCCCATAGGGCTCAATGCTAGAGGCCCCCATAGGGTTCAATGTTAGAGGCCCCCATAGGGCTCAATGATAGAGGCTCCCATAGGGTTCAATGTTAGAGGCTCCCATAGGGTTCAATTTTAGAGGCTCCCATAGGGTTCAATGTTAGAGGCCCCCATAGGGCTCAATGATAGAGGCTCCCATAGGGTTCAATGTTAGAGGCTCCCATAGGGTTCAATGTTAGAGGCTCCCATAGGGTTCAATGTTAGAGGCCCCCATAGGGCTCAATGCTAGAGGCTCCCATAGGGTTCAATGTTAGAGGCTCCCATAGGGTTCAATGTTAGAGGCTCCCATAGGGCTCAATGTTAGAGGCCCCCATAGGGCTCAATGCTAGAGGCTCCCATAGGGCTCAATGTTAGAGGCTCCCATAGGGCTCAATGCTAGAGGCCCCCATAGGGCTCAATGTTAGAGACTCCCATAGGGCTCAATGTTAGAGGCCCCCATAGGGCTCAACGCTAGAGGCTCCCATAGGGCTCAATGTTAGAGGCTCCCATAGGGCTCAATGCTAGAGGCCCCCATAGGGCTCAATGTTAGAGGCTCCCATCGCGGGGTCTCAGGCGGAGAGAGAGACAAGCTGGATGCGGACACCATCATCACACGTCTCACCACTCGGAGAATGTGGTCCCAGTTTCTCCTCCAAGCGCCGGCGCTCCCATTCCGAGTTCTCCAGCCTCCCCTCCAGCTCGCGGCGCTCCTTCTCCCAGTTCCCGGGCCTTTGCTCCGACGCCTGTGGAGTGACCCTGGACTGCTCCAGCTCCCTCTGGGAACTCCGAATCCTCTCCTCCAATTCCCGGCGTTCGGCCTCGGAGCCCCGAAGCTTCTCCTCCAGAGACCGCCGCTGTGTCTCAGAATTCCCGAGCTTCTCCTCCAATTCCCGGCGCTCCTCCCGCGAGAACCGGGGCTGCGGTTTACATTCCCGGATTTCCTTTTCGTAATTGCGAAGCTTTTCCTCCGAATCCTGGCGCTGCTTCTCGGATTTTCGGAGCTTCTCTTCCAGCTCCCGGCGTTCCGTCTCTTCCTCCCGGGAGGGCCGAGGCTTCGCCTTCAACGCCTGGAGCTCCTTCTCGAGGCTCAGGAGCCTCTCCGCCAGCGACCGCCGCTCCTTCTCGGAATTCCCGAGCTTCTCCTCCAGCTCCTGGCGCTCCGCGCGGGGGAAACGCGGCTTCGCCTTCAGCTCTTCCAGTTGGTTTTCGGAATGGCGAAGTTTCTGCTCAAACTCCCGGCGTTCCCGCTTGTGATTCCGAAGGCTCTCTTCCAGCTCCCCGCGCTCCCTTTCGGAAGCGCGAAGCTTCTCCTCCAACTCCCGCCGCTCATCCCGGGAAATCCGCGGCGGCTTGGGCTGAGACCCCGGAACTTCCCTCGGGGAATTCCGAAGCTTCTCCTCCAATTCCCGACGCTGCTCCTCGGACTTGCGGAGGTTCTCTTCCAGCTCCTGGCGCTCCTTCTGGGAATCCCGATCCTTCTCATCCTCCTGGGGCAACCGAGGCTTCGATTTTAACTCTTGAACGCCCCTCTCATAATTGCGGACTTTCTCCTCAAGAGATTGGCGCTCCTTCTCGGAATTCCTGAGCTTCTCCTCAAATTCCCGGCGGTCCTGCAGGGAATCCCGCGGCTTAGCTTTCAGCTCCTCGAGCTCCTTTTGAGAACTCCCAAGTTTCCCTTCCAGATCCAGGGACTTCTCCTCAGAATTCCCAAGCTTCTCACCCAGCTCTCGTAATTTCCTCTCAGAAGTGCCGAACTTCTCTTCCAGCTCCCGGAATTTTTCCTCGGAACGCCCCAATTTCTCCTCCAGCTCGCGGGATTTCTTATCGGAATTCCGGAGCTTCTCCTCCAACTCCTGGGCGTTTTTAGACTGGCGGGAATCCTTGCCGGCATCGCGAATTTTCTCTTCCAGCTCCCGGGATTTCTTCTCGGAGCTCCCGAATTTCTCTTCGAGCTCCCGCAATTTCCTCTCGGAATTCCCAAACTTCTCCTCCGCCTCCCGGGATTTCCCCTCGGCAATCCGGAGCTTCTCCTCGAGCTCCCGGGCATTCTGAGAGCCGCGGGAATCCTTGCCGGCGTCCCGGAGTTTCTCCCCGAGCTCCCGGCGGTCCCTCTCGGCGACGGCGAGCTTCTCCTCCAGCTCCCGGCGTTCCCTGTCGGAGCTGCGGAGCCGCTCCTCGGCGTTCCCGCGCTCCTCCTGAAGGGCGCGGAGTTTCGACTCCGCCTCCAGCCGCCTCTCGTCGGTGTCGAGGATTCGCTCCCGGAGGCGGGCGAGCTCCTGCTGAGATTCCTCAAACTCCTCCCGGAGGCGCACACTCTCCTCCAGCTGGTAGGCACAGCGAGAGGGGGGGGGGGGGGGGGGGAGTGGGGAGTGGGGGGGAGTGGGGGGAGTGGGGGGGAGAGTGGGGGGGAGTGGGGGGAGTGGGGGGAGTGGGGGGGGAGTGGGGGGAGAGTGGGGGGAGAGTGGGGGGGGAGTGGGGGGGGGGGAGAGTGGAGGGAGAGTGGGGGAGAGGGAGAGTGGGGGGAGAGTGGGGGGGGGGGAGAGTGGGGGGGGGGGAGAGTGGAGGGAGAGTGGGGGGTGAGTGGGGGGGGAGAGTGGGGGGAAAGTCGGGGGAGTGTGGGGGGAGAGTGGGGGGGGGAGAGTGGGGGGAGAGTGGGGGGAGAGTGGGGGGAGAGTGGAGGGAGAGTTTGGGGAGAGTGGGGGGAGAGTGGGGGGAGAGTGTGGGGAGAGTGGGGGGAGAGTGGGGGGAGAGTGGGGGGAGAGTGGGGGGGGGAGAGTGGGGGGGGGGAGAGTGGGGGGGAGAGTGGGGAGGGGGAGTGGGGAGGAGAGTGGGGGGGGGGGGGGGAGTGGGGGGAGAGTGGGGGGAGAGTGGGGGGAGAGTGGGGGGGGGGAGAGTGGGGGGAGAGTGGAGGGAGAGTGGGGGGAGAGTGGGGGGGGGAGAGTGGGGGGAGAGTGGGGGGGGAGAGTGGGGGGGGGAGAGTGGGGGGAGAGTGGGGGGGGGAGAGTGGGGGGGGGGAGAGTGGGGGGGGGGAGAGTGGGGGAGAGTGGGGGGGGGAGAGTGGGGGGGAGGGAGTGGGGGGAGAGTGGGGGAGAGTGGGGGGGGGGGAGAGTGGGGGGGGGAGAGTGGGGGGGGGGAGTGGGGGGGGGAGAGTGGGGGGGAGAGTGGGGGATGAGTGGGGGGGAGAGTGGGGGGAGAGTGGGGGGGAGAGTGGGGGGGGGAGAGTGGGGGGAGAGTGGGGGGGGGGAGAGTGGGGGGTGAGTGTGTGTGTGTGAGTAGGTGAGTGAGTGGCTGGGTGAGTGAGTGAGTGGCTAGGTGAGTGAGTGTATTAGTGGTGAGTGAGTGGGTGGCTGGGTGTGCGAGTGGCTGGGTGAGTGAGTGAGTGGCTGGGTGAGTGAGTGAGTGTGTGAGTAGGTGAGTGAGTGGCTGCGTGAGTGAGTGAGTGGCTGGTTGAGTGAGTGAGTGGCTGGGTGAGTGAGTGGCTGTGTGAGTGAGTGAGTGGCTGGGTCAGTGAGTGAGTGGCTGGGTGAGTGAGTGGCTGGGTGAGTGAGTGAGTGGCTGGGTCAGTGAGTGGCTGTGTGAGTGGCTGGGTGAGTGAGTGAGTGGATGGGTGAGTGTGTATGTGTGTGTGTGAGTGGCTGGGTGAGTGAGTGTATTAGTGTGAGTGAGTGAGTGGCTGGGTGAGTGAGTGTGTGAGTGGCTGGGTGAGTGAGTGAGTGGCTGCGTGAGTGTGTGTGTGAGTAGGTGAGTGACTGGCTGTGTGGTGAGTGAGTGGCTGGGTGAGTGAGTGGCTGGGTGAGTGTGTGTATTAGTGGTGAGTGAGTGAGTGGCTGGGTGAGTGTGTGTATTAGTGGTGAGTGAGTGAGTGGCTGTGTGAGTGTGTGTGTATGAGTAGGTGAGTGAGTGGCTGGGCGAGTGAGTGTATTAGTGGTGAGTGAGTGAGTGGCTGGGTGAGTGTGTGTATTAGTGGTGAGTGAGTGAGTGGCTGGGTGAGTGTGTGTGTGAGTGAGTGAGTGGCTGGGTGAGTGAGTGTGTGAGTAGGTGAGTGAGTGACTGTGTGAGTGAGTGAGTGTGAGTAGGTGAGTGAGTGGCTGAGTGAGTGTGTGTGTGAGTAGGTGAGTGACTGTGTGAGTGAGTGTGTGTGAGTAGGTGAGTGAGTGGCTGTGTGAGTGAGTGTGTGTGTGAGTGAGTGGCTGGGTGAGTGTGTGAGTGAGTGGCTGGGTGAGTGAGTGTGTGAGTAGGTGAGTGAGTGAGTGGCTGGGTGTGTGTGAGTAGGGGAGTGAGTGACTGTGTGAGTGTGTGAGTGGCTGGGTGAGTGAGTGAGTGGCTGGGTGAGTGTGTGTGTGTGAGTGAGTGAGTGACTGAGTGAGTAAGTGGCTGGGTGAGTGAGTGTGTGAGTAGGTGAGTGAGTGAGTGGCTGGGTGAGTGGCTGTGTGAGTGAGTAAGTGGCTGGGTGAGTGAGTGGCTGTGTGAGTGTGTGAGTGAGTGGCTGTGTGAATGAGTGTGTGTGTGAGTAGGTGAGTGAGTGACTGTGTGAGTGAGTGAGTGTGAGTGTGTGTGAGTAGGTGAGTGAGTGGCTGTGTGAGTGAGTGTGTGTGTGAGTGTGTGAGTGAGTGGCTGGGTGAGTGAGTGTGTGAGTAGGTGAGTGAGTGAGTGGCTGGGTGAGTGTGTGTGTGAGTGACTGTGTGAGAGTGTGAGTGAGTGCGTGAGTGGCTGGGTGAGTGAGTGAGTGTGTGAGTGTGTGAGTGGCTGCGTGAGCGAGTGAGTGGCTGGGTGAGTGTGTGTGTGTGTGAGTAGGTGAGTGAGTGGCTGTGTGAGTGAGTGTGTGAGTGTGTGAGTGACTGTGTGTGAGTGTGAGTGAGTGGCTGTGTGAGTGAGTGTGTGTGTGTGAGTGAGTGTGTGTGTGTGAGTGTGTGTGTGTTAGTGTGTGAGAGTGAGTGTGTGTGTGTGTGAGTGACTGTGTGAGTGGCTCTGTGAGAGTGTGTGTGTGTGAGTGAGTGTGTGAGTGTGTGTGTGAGTATGTGAGTGAGTCTGTGTTTGAGTGACTGTGTGTGAGTGTGTGTGTGAGTGACTGTGTGAGTGGCTCTGTGAGAGTGTGTGAGTGTGTGAGTGTGTGTGAGTGACTGTGTGAGTGAGTGGCTGTGTGAGTGACTGTATGTGTGTGTGTGAGTGAGTGGCTGGGTGAGTGAGTGAGTGACTGTGTGAGTGAGTGACTGTGTGAGTGAGTGACTGTGTGAGTGACTGTATGTGTGTGTGTGTAAGTGAGTGAGTGGCTGGGTGAGTGAGTGACTGTGAGTGAGTGACTGTGTGAGTGAGTGAGTGACTGTGTGAGTGACTGTGTGTGTGTGTGAGTGTGTGAGAGTGAGTGTGTGAGTGACTGTGTGAGTGGCTCTGTGAGAGTGTGGGAGTGTGAGTGTGTGTGAGTGAGTGACTGTGTGAGTAGGTGAGTGTGTGAGTGTGTGAGTGACTGTGTGAGTGACTGTGAGTGAGTCTGTGTGTGAGTGACTGTATGTGTGTGTGTGTAAGTGAGTGAGTGGCTGGGTGAGTGAGTGACTGTGAGTGAGTGACTGTGTGAGTGACTGTATGACTGTGTGTGTGTGTGAGTGTGTGTATGACTGTGTGAGTGAGTGACTGTGTGAGTGACTGTATGACTGTGTGTGTGTGTGAGTGTGTGTATGACTGTGTGAGTGAGTGACTGTGTGAGTGACTGTGTGTGTGTGTGAGTGTGTGTGAGTGTGTGTGTGACTGTGAGTGAGTGGCTGTGTGAGTGACTGTGTGTGTGAGTGAGTGAGTGGCTGGGTGAGTGAGTGAGTGACTATGACTGTGTGAGTGTGTGCTAAGTAGCTGCTACAGAAGAGAGACAACCACCCCACCCCCCACCTGTCTCTCCACGCATCTCACTCGCTCCCTCATCTCCTCACGCGTCTTCTCAGCCCGCCCGAGCGCCGCCTTCGCCTCGTCCCGGTCGCGGTGGGCCTCGCGCACGCGGGCACGCACCTCCCGGCCAGCGGCACGCAGCCGCTCCAGGTGCTCACGCAGCACCGCCTCCGTCTCGTCGTGCTCGGCCCCGCGGGTTTCCACGGAGCGAACTCGCTCGCGTAGCAAAACCAGCTCGGCCAGCAGCTGGGAGTGGGGGAAGGGCAGAGAGAGGGTGGGTGGGTGGGTTAGTGGGTGGGTGGGTGGGTGAGTAGGTGGTGGGTGGGTGAGTGGGTGGGTGAGTAGGTGGGTGGGTGAGTGGGTTCGTGGGTGGGTTAGAGAGAGGGTGGGTGGGTGGGTTAGAGAGAGGGTGGGTGGGTGGGTCAGAGAGAGGGTTGGTGAGTGGGTGGGTTAGAGAGAGGGTGGGTGGGTTAGAGAGAGGGTGGGTGGGTGGGTGGGTTAGAGAGAGGGTGGGTGGGTGAGTGGGTTAGAGAGAGGGTGGGTGGGTGGGTTAGAGAGAGGGTGGGTGGGTGGGTGGGTTAGAGAGAGGGTTGGTGAGTGGGTGGGTTAGAGAGAGGGTGGGTGAGTGGGTCAGAGAGAGGGTGGGTGGGTGGGTGGGTCAGAGAGAGGGTTGGTGAATGGGTGGGTGGGTCAGTGTGTGAGTGGGTGGGTGGGTGGGTCAGAGAGAGGGTTGGTGAGTGGGTGGGTGGGTGGGTCAGTGGGTGAGTGGGTGGGTGGGTGGGTCAGTGGGTGAGTGGGTGGGTGGGTGAGTGGGTGGGTGGGTCAGAGAGAGGGTTGGTGAGTGGGTGGGCGGGTCAGTGGGTGAGTGGGTGGGTGGGCGGGTCAGAGAGAGGGTTGGTGAGTGGGTGGGTGGGTCAGTGGGTCTGGTGAGTGGGTGGGTGGGTGAATGGGTCTGGTGAGTAGGTGGGTGGGTGAGTTAGTGGGTGAGCGAGTAGGTGAGTGGGTGAGTGGGTGAGCGAGTAGGTGAGTGGGTGAGTGGGTTAGTGGGTGAGCGAGTAGGTGAGTGGGTGAGTGAGTAGGTGAGTGGGTGAGTGGGTTAGTGGGTGAGCGAGTAGGTGAGTGGGTGAGCGAGTAGGTGAGTGGGTGAGTGAGTTGGTGAATTAGTGAGTTGGTAAGCGGGTGAGTGGGTTAGTGGGTGGGTGAGTGAGTTGGTGAGTGAGTGAGTAGGTAAATGGGTGGGTGGGTTAATGGGTGAGCGAGTAGGTGAGTGGGTTAGTGGGTGAGTGAGTAGGTGAGTGGGTGAGTGGGTTAGTGGGTGAGCGAGTAGGTGAGTGGGTGAGTGGGTTAGTGGGTGAGCGAGTAGGTGAATGGGTGAGTGGGTTAGTGGGTGAGCGAGTAGGTGAGTGGGTGAGTGGATTAGTGGGTGAGCGAGTAGGTGAGTGGGTGAGTGGGTTAGTGGGTGAGCGAGTAGGTGAGTGGGTGAGTGGGTTAGTGGGTGAGCGAGTAGGTGAGTGGGTTAGTGGGTGAGCGAGTAGGTGAGTGGGTGAGTAGGTTAGTGGGTGAGCGAGCAGGTGAGTGGGTGAGTGGGTTAGTGGATGAGTGAGTAGGTGAGTGGGTGAGTGAGTTGGTGAGTGAGTGAGTATGTAAGCGGGTGGGTGGGTTAGTGGGTGAGCGAGTAGGTGAGTGGGTTAGTGGGTGAGTCAGTAGATGAGTGGGTGAGTGGATGAGTGTGTGGGTCAGTGGGTGTGTGAGTGATTGGGTGAGTGTGTGTGAGTGAGTGAGTTGGTGAGTAGGTGAGTGAGTAGGTGAGTGAGTGTGTGTGAGTAGGTGAGTGATTTGGTGAATAGGTGAGTGAGTTGGCGAGTGATTTGGTGAGTAGATTACATTACCCCCCCCTCCGCCTCTAATCACTGCACCTGATGAGTTAAGTGATGACGTCACCCTGCTGCTCTATATAAAACCGGGAGCAAGCGAGGGCTTTACCATTCTGGCGAATTGCCCGATGATGCTGGAAGTATTTACCAGCGAAACGTCGTACTCAAACTGTAAATGTGGATTAACTCTTCAACACACCGGTGGGCTGAAGTAGTGAATTATTTGTCTTTTGTCAACGTGACACTTTTTTTGCTGATTGGCCGTGTCGGGTAGTGGAGGGTTACGACACATTTATAAATAAACACGATCTAACCCAAAAACCTTTATTATGAATAATATTGGTCGCGAAAGCCTACGTGTTAAACTTGGTGAGTAGGTAAGTGAGTTGGTGAGTAGGTGAGTGAGTTGGTGAGTGAGTAGGTGAGTGGGTGGGTGAGTGAGTGGGTGAGTGAGTTGGTGAGTGAGTGGGTGAGTGAGTTGGTGAGTGAGTGGGTGAGTTGGTGAGTGAGTGGGTGAGTTGGTGAGGGTCTGTGAGTGGAGAAGTGAGTAGGTGAGTGAGTTGGTGAGTAAGTCGGTGAGTGAGCGAGTGAGTGGGTGAGTGAGTAGGTGAGTGAGTTGGTGAGTGAGTAGGTGAGTTTGTGAGTGAGCAGGTGAGTTGGTGAGTGAATGGGTGAGTGAGTTGGTTGGTGAGTGAGTTGGTGAGTGGGTGAGTGAGTAGGTGAGTTGGTGAGTGAATGGGTGAGTGAGTTGGTGAATGAGTTGGTGAGTGAGTAGGTGAGTTGGTGAGTGAATGAGTGAGTGAGTGAGTTCATGAGTGAGTTGGTGAGTGAGTAGGTCAGTTGGTGAGTGAATGAGTGAGTGAGTGGGTGAGTGAGTTGGTGAGTGAGTTGGTGAGTGAGTAGGTGAGTTGGTGAGTGATTGAGTGAGTAGGTGAGTTGGTGAGTGAGTTGGTGAGTGAATGAGTGAGTAGGTGAGTTGGTGAGTGAGTTGGTGAGTGAGTTGGTGAGTGAGTTGGTGAGTAGGTGAGTTGGTGAGTGAATAGGTGAGTGAGTTGGTGAGTGAGTTGGTGAGTAGGTGAGTTGGTGAGTGAGTTGGTGAGTGAATGAGTGAGTGAGTTGGTGAGTGAGTTGGTGAGTGAATGAGTGAGTTGGTGAGTGAGTTGGTGAGTGAGTTGGTGAGTGAGTGGGTGAGTGAATGAGTGAGTGAGTTGGTGAGTTGGTGAGTGAGTTGGTTAGTGAATGAGTGAGTGAGTTGGTGAGTGAGTTGGTGAGTGAGTTGGTGAGTGAGTTGGTGAGTGAGTTGGTGAGTGAATGAGTGAGTGAGTTGGTGAGTGAGTTGGTGAGTGAGTAGGTGAGTTGGTGAGTGAGTTGGTGAGTGAGTAGGTGAGTTGGTGAGTGAGTTGGTGAGTCAGTGAGTTGGTGAGTGAGTAGGTGAGTTGGTGAGTGAATGAGTGAGTGAGTTGGTGAGTGAGTTGGTGAGTAGGTGAGTTGGTGAGTAGGTGAGTTGGTGAGTGAGTTGGTGACTGAGTTGGTGAGTAGGTGAGTTGGTGAGTGAGTTGGTGAGTGAGTTGGTGAGTGAATGAGTGAGTTGGTGAGTGAGTAGGCGAGTTGGTGAGTGAATGAGTGAGTGAGTTGGTGAGTGAGTTGGTGAGTAGGTGAGTTGGTGAGTGAGTTGGTGAGTGAGTTGGTGAGTGAGTTGGTGAGTGAGTTGGTGAGTGAGTAGGTGAGTTGGTGAGTGAGTTGGTGAGTGAGTCTCACCTCATTTTCATCATCTTTGGCTCCGTTACTGTCTCCAGGTTTCGCTCGCTCTTTCAACTTCTCTTTGAGAGAATCAATCTACAAACAAACACAGTCTCTAGCAGTGAGCCCTATGGAATCCTCTCGCAGTGAGCCCTATGGGAGCTTCTAGCATTGAGCCCTATGGGAGCTTCTAGCATTGAGCCCTATGGGAGCCTCTCGCAGTGAGCCCTATGGGAGCCTCTAACATTGAGCCCTATGGGGGCCTCTCGCAGTGAGCCCTATGTGAGCCCCTCGCATTGAGCCCTATGGGAGTCTCTCGCAGTGAGCCCTAAGGGAGCCTCTAACATTGAGACCTATGGGAGCCTCCAACATTGAGCCCTATGGGAGCCTCTAGCATCGAGCCCTATGGGGGCCTCTCGCATTGAGCCCTATGGGAGGCTCTCGCAGTGAGCCCTAAGGGAGCCTCTCGCAGTGAACCCTATGGGGACCTCTAGCATTGAGCCCTATGGAATCCTCTCGCAGTGAGCCCTATGGGGACCTCTAACATTGAGCCCTATGGGATCCTCTAACATTGAGTCCTATGGGAGCCTCTAACAGTGAGCCCTATGGGAACCTCTAACACTGAGCCCTATGGGGGCCTCTAACATTGAGCCCTATGGGGGCCTCTAACATTGAGCCCTATGGGATCCTCTAACATTGAACCCTATGGGAGTCACTAACATTGAGTCCTATGGGAGCCTCTAACATTGAGCCCTATGGGGGCCTCTAACATTGAGCCCTATGGGAGCCTCTAACATTGAGCCCTATGGGAGTCTCTAACATTGAGCCCTATGGGGGCCTCTAGCATTGAGCCCTATGGGGGCCTCTAACATTGAGCCCTATGGGGGCCTCTAACATTGAGACCTATGGGAGCCTCTAACATTGAGCCCTATGGGAGCCTCTAACATTGAACCCTATGAGAGTCTCTAACATTGAGCCCTATGGGAGCCTCTGACATTGAGCCCTATGGGAGCCTCTAACATTGAGCCCTATGGGAGCCTCTAACATTGAGCCCTATGGGAGCCTCTAACATTGAGCCCTATGGGGGCCTCTAACATTGAGCCCTATGGGAGCCTCTAACATTGAGCCCTATGGGGGCCCCTAACATTGAGCCCTATGGGGACCTCTAACATTGAGCCCTATGGGAGTCTCTAACAATGAGCCCTATGGGGGCCTCTAACATTGAACCCTATGGGGACCTCTAACATTGTGCCCTATGGGAGGCTCTAACATTGAGCCCTATGGGGGCCTCTAACTGTGGTGGTAATCGTCACAGCGGATGCTGGCTCACCACCGAACACAGATGGTCGCTGCATCACCCGGCGCTTTAACATGCGCTGCTTCTGCGGCCGTCTGGAACGCTCTTCCTTACAATACTGGGAAGCCACTGGGAGCTGTGCACTTTGAAATCAACGTCTGTGTTGACAAACTCGCTTCTTTAGAACTGATTTTAGTGTTGTATGTGTGTAAGTACATGCAAACATGGGAGCCTTTAACGTTGAATGACCCGTTGGGAGCCTTTAACATTAAACCCTATGGAAAAGTGAGTGTCTGTGTGAGTAAGTCTCTGAGTGAGTCTCTGTGTGAGTAAGTCTCTGAGTGAGTGAGTCTCTGTGTAAGTCTCTGAGTGAGTCTCTGTGTGAGTAAGTCTCCGAGTGAGTCTCTGTGTGAGTAAGTCTCTGAGTGAGTCTCTTTGTGAGTGAGTCTCTGAGTGAGTCTCTGAGTGAGTCTCTGAGTGAGTGAGTCTCTGAGTGAGTCTCTGAGTGAGTCTCTTTGTGAGTAAGTCTCTGAGTGAGTCTCTTTGTGAGTGAGTCTCTGAGTGAGTCTCTGAGTGAGTGAGTCTCTGAGTGAGTCTCTGAGTGAGTGAGTCTCTGAGTGAGTCTCTGTGTGAGTAAGTCTCTGAGTGAGTCTCTGTGTGAGTAAGTCTCTGAGTGAGTCTCTGAGTGAGTCTCTGAGTGAGTGAGTCTCTGAGTGAGTGAGTCTCTGAGTGAGTCTCTGAGTGAGTGAGTCTCTGAGTGAGTGAGTCTCTGAGTGAGTCTCTGAGTGAGTGAGTCTCTGAGTGAGTCTCTGAGTGAGTGAGTCTCTGAGTGAGTGAGCCTCTGAGTGAGTCTCTGAGTGAGTGAGTCTCTGAGTGAGTCTCTAAGTGAGTGAGTCTCTGAGTGAGTGAGTCTCTGAGTGAGTGAGTCTCTGAGTGAGTGAGTCTCTGAGTGAGTGAGTCTCTGTGTGAGTGAGTCTCTGAGTGAGTGAGTCTCTGAGTGAGTCTCTGAGTGAGTCAGTCTCCGAGTGAGTGAGTCTCTGAGTGAGTCTCTGAGTGAGTCTCTGAGTGAGTGAGTCTCTGAGTGAGTCTCTGAGTGAGTGAGTCTCTGAGTGAGTCTCTGAGTGAGTCTCTGAGTGAGTGAGTCTCTGAGTGAGTGAGTCTCTGAGTGAGTCTCTGAGTGAGTCAGTCTCCGAGTGAGTGAGTCTCTGAGTGAGTCTCTGAGTGAGTCTCTGAGTGAGTGAGTCTCTGAGTGAGTCTCTGAGTGAGTCTCTGAGTGAGTGAGTCTCTGAGTGAGTCTCTGAGTGAGTCTCTGAGTGAGTGAGTCTCTGAGTGAGTGAGCCTCTGAGTGAGTCTCTGAGTGAGTCAGTCTCCGAGTGAGTCTCTGAGTGAGTCTCTGAGTGAGTCTCTGAGTGAGTGAGTCTCTGAGTGAGTGAGTCTCTGAGTGAGTCTCTGAGTGAGTGAGTCTCTGAGTGAGTCTCTGAGTGAGTCTCTGAGTGAGTGAGTCTCTGAGTGAGTGAGTTTCTGAGTGAGTCTCTGAGTGAGTGAGTCTCTGAGTGAGTCTCTGAGTGAGTGAGTCTCCGAGTGAGTGAGTCTCTGAGTGAGTCTCTGAGTGAGTCTCTGAGTGAGTGAGTCTCTGAGTGAGTCTCTGAGTGAGTGAGTCTCTGAGTGAGCGAGTCTCTGAGTGAGTCTCTGAGTGAGTCTCTGAGTGAGTCTCCGAGTGAGTGAGTCTCTGAGTGAGTGAGTCTCTGAGTGAGTCTCTGAGTGAGTCTTTGAGTGAGTGAGTCTCTGAGTGAGTCTCTGAGTGAGTGAGTCTCTGAGTGAGTATCTGAGTGAGTGAGTCTCTGAGTGAGTCTCTGAGTGAGTCTCCGAGTGAGTGAGTCTCTGAGTGAGTCTCTGAGTGAGTGAGTCTCCGAGTGAGTCTCTGTGTGAGTGAGTCTCTGAGTGAGTCTCCGAGTGAGTCTCTGTGTGAGTGAGTCTCTGTGTGAGTGAGTCTCTGAGTGAGTCTCTGTGTGAGTGAGTCTCTGTGTGAGTGAGTCTCTGAGTGAGTGAGTCTCTGAGTGAGTGAGTCTCTGAGTGAGTCTCTGTGTGAGTGAGTCTCTGTGTGAGTGAGTCTCTGAGTGAGTGAGTCTCCGAGTGAGTCTCCGCGCCAGTCTCTGACTCACCTGTGCCTGCAAGGTCGCTGTAGTCTCGGTCTCTGCGGCGATCCGCTGGGACATCTCCGCACATTCTCTCTGCATCCTCCCCGTATCCCCATCCCTGCCCAGGGCCTCCTGCGCCCGACGTCTCAGAGCCTCCACCTCACGCAGCAGCGAGGCGGGGGACCGCGGAGACATCGGGGAGAGCGGAGACGGCACGGGGGACAGCGGAGACAGCGGCGGGGACGTGGGGGACAGGGGGATGGCTCCGTCTGCGGGGAGACACGGGGACGGGGGGGAGTGAGGTGTCGGGGAGACAGATGTCTCCCTGTGTGTGTGTGTCTGTGTGTGTGTGTCTGTTTGTCTGTGTGTGTGTGTCTGTGTGTGTGTCTGTGTGTGTGTGTGTGTCTGTGTGTCTGTGTGTCTGTGTGTCTGTGTGTGTGTGTCTGTGTGTGTGTGTGTCTGTCTGTGTGTCTGTCTGGCAGGGGAGCGGTAGTGTAGCGGTTAGCGCGCTGCGCTATGAACCTGGCGACCCGGGTTTGATTCCAGCTCACGGTCAACACCAGTGACGATTATCAAATGAGTACCTGGTGCGGTGTGTAAATATCGCCACTAGGGAGACAAAGGCGATCGGGCGTGGTGCTGGCCACCCACCCCCTCGTGTGCCGTTCTGGCCTTCATAGGTGCTCGCTAACAGCACTTGCCCCTACAGTCTGTTAAGGCTATACGGGGATCTTTGTTTATCTTTTTGTCTGTCTGGCAAAACAACCCCCTACCTCCTCGCGGTGCCGGACGGGCAACTCTGTCGTGGACAGTGCTGTGGGGGGAGGTCCAAATTTGTTTGGCTCGTCCCCTCATGGCATATGTGTCCACCACAGGGGCTAAACGGGGGCTCTGGACGGGTGCGAGGGGCTGGTAACCCATCCACCTTCAATTAATTACCACTAAACCACGAGTTAAACTGAAATATGTAACTAATAAGCTTGTGCCGGAGGCCCCGGGGGGCCAGGCGTCTATGACGTCTCCTGGCCAAACCCCAATTGGCGGAGCCAGGAGATTGAATATCTACCCTCGGGGCTCCTCCAGAAACAACGAAAAGCCACTACGGGTGGCCACGTGGAATGTTCGAACGCTCACTGCGGAGGAGAGGCTGCCACTCCTCTGTCGGGAGCTGGACCGGTACCGCCTGGATCTATGTGGCATTCAGGAGGTCCGGTGGACCGGCTCTGGCTCCTGCCACCATGAGGGGTGGACAGTCCTCTACTCGGGGCAGGAGACTGCCAAACAACAGGGAGTGGCTCTTCTTTTGAACAAAAGAATGAATGGGGCGTGGGAGCGTGGCGGTGAGGTGTGGGAAGCTTTAAGCCCCAGGCTACTTTTGGCTCGCCTTCCCATCAACCGGAGGCGAGGAATGGTGGTCGTGGTTACTTATGCCCCACCGAAGATGAACATCCGTGGAGGGATGCAGGCAAAGCCGATGAGTCAGATGCCTTCTATGACCTCCTGTCACAAGTGCTGGCTAAAGTGGTCCCCTCGGGATAGAGTCATCATGTTGGGTGACTTCAATGCCCGAGTTGGTCATGATACTGGCACCTGGTCTGGAGTGATTGGAGGGCATGGGCCAGATCAGCTCAATAACAACGGTAGGAGGCTGCTAGATTTTTGGCAAGCCCATGGGTTTGTAATTACCAACACGCTGTTCGGGCATCGGCGCATCCACACAACATCATGGATGCATGCCGGGTCCAAGCAAGAACATCTGCTGGACTACGTAGTGACGGACCAGCGGATGCGAGTCCATGTCCTTGGCACCAGGACCTACCGTGGAGCTGATCTGCCCTCTGACCATCGACTAGTCATCTGTAAGATGCGCCTGCCATTCTTCCACTCCGGTGGTGGGTGTACACCCAGGACCCCATTCCAACCTAAAGTGGCCTGGTCTCAGTTATCTGATGAAAGTTGCAAGCGAGAATTTCATCATCGCTTGTGGCTGGGATTGGCATCATCCCCGACTCCTCCTGATGTCGAGGGTAAATGTGCGAGGTTTAGGACTGTGACTCATGCAGCTGCAATGGCTGCTTTGGGTACGCGGTCCAGACGTCCCCAGAGACCCTGGCTGACAGAGGAGGTGTTCAGGATGGTTGAGAAAAAGCGACAGGCCCACTGTCATCGGGTACAGAATCCCACGTCAGAGAATGAGGAGGCTTACCGCAGCCTTCGGTCGGAGGTTCTGAGAGCCGTGAGGCGCTGCAAGGATGGGTGGTGGTCGCGGGTTGCTGAGGAGATGGAGTCTGCCTCAGTGGCCCACGATCACAAATCTCTATTTAACTCCATGAAAAAGTAACCTGCAGCGCCACACCTATTACCATCATTAGGGGAAAAAACGGTGATCCAATCTCCGACCCCCAGGAACAGGTTTGCAGATTTGCTGAGCATTTCTGTGAGGTTCTGGGGGAGGGAAAATCCCTCAGCCAGGAAAACATCGTGGCACAAAGTGAGGATGACCCTGCTGAGGCTGCGGTGCCTCAAATATTGGAAGACGTCACCCCCTGTGAGTGGCTGGCTGAAGTGCCATCTGTTGAGGAAGTACTGAAGGCGATCCGGAGTCTGAGACCAGGAAAGGCAGCGGGCAGAGATGATCTCCCAAGCGAAATGCTGAGGGAGGGTGGCGTTTGTGCACAGACTGCCCTATATGACATCATAACAACGGTCTGAACCACTGGACGGGTTCCGCAGGATTGGAAGGATGCCCTGGTGGTCCCCCTCTTTAAGAAGGGGGACCGCACAGACTGTAACAACTACAGGGGAATCTCACTCCTCAGTGTGTAGGGAAAGGTCCTGGCATGGATTATTCAACATCGCCTCGCCAAGCACGCTGAGGAGAGGCTTGCGGAGCCCCAATGCGGTTTCAGGAAAGGGAGGTCCTGCACAGATGCCATATTTTCTGTCCGTCTGCTACAGCAGAAGTGTAGGGAATTCCAACAAGACCTACATCTCTGCTTTATAGACCTGGTCAAGGCCTATGATACCATCAGTAGGCCTGGACTCTGGGTTGTTCTTCGTGATTTTGGAATCCCTGACCCTCTGCTCACAATCATTAAGGACCTTCATGATGGTGAGCAGGCCCGGGTAAAACTACGTGGCCGGGAGTCAGAGCCATTCCCTGTACACCTTGGGGTGCGACAGGGATGTCCTCTGGCTCCACATTATTTAACATCTATTTTGACCACATAGTTTGTGAAGCCTTCAATAGCTGTACCGGGGGAATCGCCATTTGGTACAGATATAATGGGAGGCTGATCGATGCCCGGGTTCGGTCAAGGGATGGCTCCCTATTGCTCAACCACGTTATGTATGCCGATGATTTGGTAATAGCTGCTCATTCAGAGGAGGAGTTGGAGAAGCTCCTGCTGAGACTGGAGTGTGCCACTAAGAGATGGGGCCTTACCATCAGCCCCACCAAAACTAAGCACCTGCCAGGGTATTTTGCACCATCGGACACTCCACCCCCACAACTCCCAATCGGTGATGGGGCAGTTGTGGAGAGAGTGGAGAATTTCCCATACCTGGGCAGTGTACTTATGACCGGCTCCAGTTTAACAGCAGAGGTCTCACTCCGAATCAGTCGAGTGGCAATATCTTTTCATCAGTTGCATAACGCTGTGTGGAAGCTACCTGGTCTGTCGCTCCACACTAAGCTTCAGGTCTTCTCGGCCACGGTCATTCCCTCCCTTCTCTACGCTTGCGAAACGTGGACCCCCTTAATGGAGCATCTTCGCCGGTTGGAAACATTTAGGCTGGCCTGCCTACGATCCATCCTGGGTTTAACCAGGCTGGATTGTGTCAGGAGCTCAAAAATCCTTGAAAGATCTGGGCAAGGTCCCAACGGTGAGCTCCTCCGGCAGGCAAGGCTGCGTTGGCTGGGTCATGTAGCCCGCATGCCCAGCCACCGCATGCCGAAAAAGCTTTTGTTCGTCCGGATCGAGGGGGCTAAACAGGCGCGGCACGGGCTAGAGAAGAGATGGAGTGATGTGGTACAGGAGGACGTGGAGCTGAGTGGATTTGCCGATGACTGGTACCAGCGGTGTCAAGATCGGCCTCTGTGGAGGAGGCTCGTGAAGGACGCTATTGGGCAGTTGGAGGCAGTCGCCCTCCAACAACAACGGAGGGCGGAGGAGCGACGCTCACAACAACGAGCGGAGCGCCGGGTGGCTAAAGCACTGCAGGTTGGCACAGTAGGGGGCACAGGTGGTGCATCATCTCAGTCATCTCAGTCAGTCGACCCATGGCACCTGGGTCTGCCCCGTGACCTCCTGCCTGCGGGCGTTCGACACTTCATGTGGCCTCAAGGTGCACATGGCCTGGCACAAGCGTCGTGGTGACGTCACCGCCACTTAGTGGCGAATGGCGGTTGTTGTTGTCCCTGTGCGTGTATGTGTGTCCGTGTGTGTCTGTGTGTGTGTGTATCTGTGTGTCTGTCTGTGTGTATATCTGTGTGTGTATCTGTGTGTGTGGGCAGGACTAGTGTAGTGGTTAGCGCCCAGCGCTACAAACACGGCTACCCGAGTTCGATTCCTGCTCACGGCCAACACCACCAATGACAATTACCGGTCCTGGCCTTCCCCTCGGCTCGGTGTGAAGTGAACATCGCCACTGGGGAGACAAAGGCGGCCGGGCGTGGGGCTGGCCACCCACTTCCTCGTGTGCCACAGTGCCGGCCTTCATAGGTGCTGCTCGCTGTTGTTACATTGTTTTTTTAGCTTTATTTTGGTGATTCGAAAACATATGGTTAATCTAAATTGTCTTATGGTTGTTGTTGTTGTTGGCTTGCACCACATTGATTTTAACACACAGCGTTTTAACAAGTTATTTTTGCGTGGAATATTTGCTGGTTTATTCCAGAATGTTTCTGTTACGTGTTGTCGCTTTAAGATGTTCTGTGTTCAAATTTTGTTTGTTGCGGTTGCACCCGACTTAAGAGCCGCATGGCTCACAGGGCTACACCTAATACATGAAACCTGAAACAGCACTTGCCCCAGCAGTCTGTGAAGGCTACACGGGGGATCTTTGTCTTTGTTGTCCGGATGTTGTCTCCCCGTGCGTCTCACCCTGAGACAGCTGTCCCTGCAGCGTCTTGATCTCTGTCTCTCGTCTCCCCCTGTGCGTGTCCCCGTGTCTCCCCGTGTGCGTCTCTCCGTATGTCCCAGTGTCTCCCCGTGTGTGTCTCTCCGTATGTCCCCGTGTCTCCCCGTGTGTGTCTCCGTGTGTCTCTCCGTGTGTCCCAGTGTGTCCCCGTGTGTGGTGTCTCACCCTGAGACAGCTGTCCCCACAGCGTCTCGATCTCGGTCCCCGTCACTCTCAGCTGGTCCAGCGTCTCCTCCAGCTCGTTCATGCGGCGTGCGAGACGTGACACTCGGAGCTTCGTCTCCCGGCTCTCCAGCGCCCCTCCCTCCATCGCACCTCCTCCTCCTCCTCCTCACTCACCACTCACCCACCACTCCTACTCACTCACCACTCACCCACCACTCACACTCACCCACCACTCACCCACCACTCCTACTCACCACTCCTACTCACCCACCACTCCTACTCACCCACCACTCCTACTCACCCACCACTCGTACTCACCCACCACTCGTACTCACCCACCACTCCTACTCACCCACCACTCCTACTCACCCACCACTCCTACTCACCGACACAAGCCGGTGATATTGACGCTAACTAGCGACACAAGACGGTGATATTGACACTAACCAGCACACGAGCCGGTGATATTGAGTCTAACTAGCGACACAAGCCGGTGATATTGAGTCTAACTAGCAGCACAAGCCGGTGATATTGACACTAACTAGCGACACAAGATGGTGATATTGACACTAACCAGCACACGAGCCGGTGATATTGAGTCTAACTAGCGACAAGAGCCGGTGATATTGACACTAACTAGCAACAAGAGCCGGTGATATTGAGTCTAACTAGCGACAAGAGCCGGTGATATTGACACTAACTAGCAACAAGAGCCGGTGATATTGAGTCTAACTAGCGACAAGAGCCGGTGATATTGAGTCTAACTAGCGACACAAGCCGGTGATATTGAGTCTAACTAGCGACACAAGCCGGTGATATTGACACTAACTAGCGACACAAGCCAGTGATATTGAGTCTAACTAGCGAGAAGAGCCGGTGATATTGACACTAACTAGCGACACAAGCCGGTGATATTGACACTAACTAGCGACACAAGCCGGTGATATTGAGTCTAACTAGCGACAAGAGCCGGTGATATTGAGTCTAACTAGCGACAAGAGCCGGTGATATTGAGTCTAACTAGCGACACAAGCCGGTGATATTGAGTCTAACTAGCGACAAGAGCCGGTGATATTGACACTAACTAGTAACAAGAGCCGGTGATATTGAGCCTAACTAGCGACAAGAGCCGGTGATATTGACACCAACCAGCGGCCCGAGCGATACAGTAAGAAGTAGAAAACAATTGATCACAACACGCGAGGTCAACGAGCACAAGCTTGCACCCGAGAGCCGAGTTACTAACAGCGGCCCGTCTACCCTGTGACGCTTGCAGCTATGACTGCTGGCAGGCGGCAACGCGAGCGTCGTCAGCACCGCTGACGGGGGCCACCACCACCACCACCAGCAGCAACAGCACCACCAGCACCACCAGCACCACCAGCAGCACCACCACCACCACCAGCAGCAGCAGCAGGCCGGTGTGAGTCTGCGCACACTAAACCAGTACCAGACACACTCTCAGCACCCACTCGCCAGAGTTGTCCTAACTAGCAGCACCGACTAGTAATAGTTACACTAACTAGCAGTCCAAGGGGAAAGATATGAGAGCGAGCTGTTAACCAGCAGTACCACTCAGATGCATGAATCAGGAATGACTAAACGCTCAAAGGAATGATGCAGCGCTAATTGGAATGACTAAATGCTAATCAGGAATGACTCAGCGCTAATCAGGAGTGACTCAGCGCTAATTGGAATGACTCAGCGCTAATCAGGAATAACTCAGCGCTAATCAGGAATAACTCAGCACTAATCAGGAGTGACTCAGCACTAATCAGGAGTGACTCAACGCTAATCAGGAATAACTCAGCGCTAATTGGAATGACTCAGCGCTAATCAGGAATGACTCAACGCTAATCAGGAATGACTCAACGCTAATCAGGAATAACTCAGCACTAATCAGGAGTGACCCAGCGCTAATCAGGAATGACTCAGCGCCAATTGGAATGACTCGTCAGTTCGTCGGAACAATCCCCTTTGCTCCGTCCGTTCCTTCCTCTGGTCCGTCCGCCCCTTTTCATTCGCTCCTCGCGCCGTTCATTCCTTAAGTGAATTCCGTTTGGTCCTTCGCTCCTTCCCTGGCTCCTCCGTTCGCTCCCTCGCTCCTTCACGTTGGCCGTCAGTTCGCGGGAACCCTCCGTTAGCTTCTTCCTTCTTTTGGTCCTTCAACTCGGGGCGTCATTCGGTTGTCCACCGGATCCTTTCGCTCCGCGAATCCTTCCCCCGATTCCGCGGGCTCCGTGAATCATTCCCGCCTCCCACCTCCACCCTCGGCGAATCACTCGTCCGCGCCCCGCCCAGCAGCCTCGCTCATTGCGATGACCGCTCGCTCACTCAGTCACTTACTCACCCACTGACTCACGCACTCGCTCACTCACTCACTCACTCATTCGCTCACTCGGGAGGCGACTGGCTGACTCACTCACTCATTCACTCACTCACCCACTCGCCCGACCACCCACCCGCTCGCTCGCTCGCTCACTCATTCACTCACCCAGCCACATGCTGAAATACCCGACTGTCTCGCTCGCCCACACACGCAGACCTTCAGCGCCCCCCCAATTCATTCGTGAACTCAAAATGTTCGCGCGCCCTTCGGTCGTTTCTTCCAACGGCTGCGTCCTGCGAACACAAAGACGGGCGAGAGAGACGATGAGCCTGGGGGCTAGGAGATGTTGCCTCCCTCACCTGGTATACAGGAGGGAGGTCGTGGGTTCGATCTAAACTAAGACGAAACCGGTTGTTATTTCACCAGGGAAGGCCTGGCCACCGCAAATGACGGCTCAACGAGGTGGTTGTACTGCAAGGGAATTGATTGCAGCCAAACCCTCTGAATGCACGTCGATTCTAAATGTGCAGGGAAACGCCGGAGGACTCGGGGAGAAAATTCCACATCACCATGAGGAGAGAGACACGCAAATATACAGAAGCAGCAGGCGTCGGGGTCCGGATCGAACCCACGAACTCCTGCGGACCGGGCGAGGGAGTTAACATCTCCTAGCCACCGTGATGATAATGCTGATGAGAGAGACACACAAACTCCAAATATACAGCAGCAGCAGGTATCAGGGTCGGGATTGAACCCACGACCTCCTGCGTACCAGGCGATGGAGTTAACATATCCTAGCCACCGTGATGATAACGCTGATGAGAGAGAGAGACACGCAAACTACACATATACAGCAGCAGGTGTCAGAGTCCGGATCGAACCCACGAACTCCTGTACACCAGGCGAGGGAGTTAACATCTCCTAGCCACCACGGCGAGGTGTTGTGGTGTGTTCATTGTGGTTAATTGGGAAGTACAAGAGGCACACACAGACACAACACACAGCTACCCACATAGACACACAAACACATCGCCACCACCACCACAACCACCATCGCAACCTCGACCACCATCAAAAGTACCATAGCCATCATCACCATCATCATCACCTCCGCCACCAAAGACAAAGATCCCCCGCATAGTCTCAACAGACTGTTGGGGCAAGCGGTGTTAGCGAGCACCTAACCTCTACCACAACCACCACCACACCAATACCAACACCCGCAATCCGCCCCCAAGTGGCGGTGGACGTCACCATTTTTCAGCAGCGACATGGCCAACCATCACAAACGAAGCGGCTAATCGCACGCGGACGACGCAGCGCTGCCAAGCCACGGCTGGGGGCAATGGAGGACGCTGGGAAAACATCGACATCATTGGACCTCCTCTGCCAGGACCAGAATATAATAATAGGGCTTCTCCCCTTTTTTTTCTGGAGACAAAACACGGATTCATGTCACTGCATTAACCACGATAGCTGCGGTCAAAATGCAAACTAAAAACACAACACTCCGATAGTATGACGCTGCATTGTCCTTGAAACTGATTGGTCCACACCAAGGGACGGCTTTCTTTTGAGCCTCATCTCAACTGGTGCTAGACCAGATGACGCCAAAAGGCGTCACACGGCTCAAAGACGATGCCACTATCAAGTATTGTGGTTAATGCAGTAGCATGAATCCTTGTGATAAAAAAAAGGTTTCAGTTTTGTTGCCAGAAAAAAAAAGAGGAAAAACCTATTATTATTATTATTATCATGACACTGGGAAAAGTTACATTTCGATTTAAAGCTTTCGTGACTGCAGGGATTCATCTCCTTGGCTCTTTCGGTAAAGCCACGTATTTTATTTTAATGTTATTATTATATCCCTTCTAGGTGACTTCACCGAAAGAACCAAGAAGCCCGGGAAAAGTTCTTGATACAAAATATCTCAAGACCCTTCAGAGGGGAAGAGGCGGCCACACGCTTCACAAATTTGGCGCCCAAAGCAAAACGCCGACAAGAGGGGGCCCCCCCCCCCCCCGCCGTCTCTGTCGCTCCGCCCGAGCGACAGGCAGGCCGGCAAAAAAACGGCGACCGTCAACTTGTGCTGGGGAACGCCACTTAACAGGCACGGCCACCGCCCCCCGGCTCCACCGGGAGTGACCCGAGGCCAGACGCTCGACCGCCCTCAAACCACCCCCCAACGAAAAACGAACACCCACGAGCGAAACGTTACCCAGAAGCCCGCGGGGAAACGACCGTGGAGGGGCAGCGCGTCGGAAAGGCGTCAACGCGGGCCCTGGTCCACCCTCCGGCGGAGCGCGAGCGCCGTGGCCCCGGGTCGGAGACGCCGGCCCGCAGGCGAACCTCGTCCAAGTCAACGCCGCGCTCCGTTGCCGCCAGCGGCACCCCCCCCCCCCCCCCCCCCCCGGACTCCACTCCCGTGACGATCCGGCAAGGACCCAACGGGGATCGTGGGGAGGAATTTTGCCCAGCCGCTCCACAACGCCCGAGACGTAAAGGAACCCCCACTCCACCTCTATAGCCCCGAGGGCTTAAATCCGAAAATACTTTCTGGACATCATGCCTCCACTCTGGCAGCTGAAAAGAAAGACGATTTTTTGTTTTTTTACGTATTTACTCAAAAGTATTTTTTTATTTTGCCAGGTAAGGCCCCATTGAGCCGCTGTGTAGTAGATATTTTTCAAAAGCGACCTGGCCTACACACTAAATGATAGCTCAAAGAAGTGGGCCTCATCATCACGTGGACATTTATAGGAGGAGGCAAATACTCTAAACGCATGACGTCGATTCTAAACATTGAGAGAAACAAGTAATATTTTTAAAATACGTTTTTTTTTTATAAACAACACGCTTT